AAGAGACAAAGAAGGCCATTACATAATGGTAAAAGGATTGATACAACAAGAAGAGCTAACGATCCTAAACGTATATGGACCCAATACAGGAGCACCCAGATATATAAGGCAAGTTCTTAACAACTTACAAAGAGACTTAGACTCCCACACAATAATAGTGGGAGACTTTAACACTCCACTGTCAATATTAGACAGATCAACCAGACAGAAAATCAACAAGGATATCCAGGGCTTGAACTCAGACCTGGAGCAAGCAAACCTGATAGACATTTACAGAACTCTCCACCCCAAATCCACAGAATATACATTCTTCTCAGCACCACATCACACCTACTCTAAAATTGACCACATAATTGGAAGTAAAGCACTGCTCAGCAAATGCAAAACAACTGAAATCATAACAAACAGCCTCTCAGACCATAGTGCAATCAAGTTAGAACTCAGAATTCAGAAACCAACCCAGAACCTCACAGCTTCATGGAAACTGAACAACTGGCTCTTGAATGTTGACTGGATAAACAACGAAATGAAGGCAGAAATAAAGAAGTTCTTCAAAACCAATGAGACTGAAGACACAACATGCCAGAATCTCTGGGACACATTTAAAGCAGTCTCTAGAGGAAAAGTATATAGCAATAAGTGCCCATATGAGAAGAATGGAGAGATCCAAAATTGACACCCTATTGTCAAAATTGAAAGAGCTAGAGGAGTAAGATAAAAAAAACTCAAAACCCAGCAGAAGACAAGAAATAACGAAGATCAGAGCTGAACTGAAGGAGATTGAGACACGAAAAACCCTCCAAAAAAATCAATAAATCCAAGAGCTGGTTTTTTGAAAAGATCAACAAAATAGACAGACCACTAGCCAGATTGATTAAAAAGAAAAGAGAGAACAACCAAATAGATGCAATAAAAAATGATAAAGGGGAAATCACCACTGATTCCACAGAAATTCAAACCATAATCAGAGAATATTACAAACAACTATATGCACATAAACTAGTAAACCTGGAAGAAATGGATAAATTCCTGGACTCCTGTGTCCTCCCAAGCCTAAATCAGGAGGAAGCTGAAACTATGAATAGACCAATAACAAGGGCAGAAGTCGAGGCAGCAATTAAAAGCCTACCACACAAAAAAAGCCCAGGTCCAGATGGGTTCACAGCCAAATTCTACCAGACACACAAAGAGGAGCTGGTACCATTTCTTCTGAAACTATTCCAAATAATCCAAAAAGAAGGAATCCTTCCCAAATCATTCTATGAGACCTATATCATCCTGATACCAAAACCCGGCAGAGACCCAACAAGAAAAGAAAACTTCAGGCCAATATCCATGACGAACATAGATGCAAAAATCTTCAATAAAATATTGGCAAGCCGAATGCAACAGCAAATCAAAAAACTTATTCATCATGATCAAGTAGGACTCATCCTGGGGATGCAAGGCTGGTTCAACATATGCAAGTCTATAAACGTAATTCACCACATATACAGAACCAAAAACAAAAACCACATGATTATCTCAATTGATGCAGAGAAGGCCTTTGACAAAATTCAACAGCCCTTTATGCTAAAAACCCTCAATAAACTCAGTATCGATGGAACATATCTCAAAGTAATAAAAGCTATTTATGACAAACCAACAGCCAATATCATACTTAATGGGCAAAAACTGGAAGCATTCCCTTTGAAATCTGGCACTAGACAAGGATGCCCTCTGTCACCACTCCTATTCAGTATAGTACTGGAAGTTCTAGCCACAGCAATCAGGCAAGAAAAAGAAATAAAGGGTATTCAAATAGGAAAGGTGGAAGCCAAATTGTCTCTATTTGCAGACAACATGATAGTATACCTAGAAGACCCCATTGCCTCAGCCCAAAAACTCCTGAAACTGATAAGCAACTTCAGCAAAGTCTCAGGATATAAAATCAATCTGCAAAAATCACAAGCCTTCCTCTACACCAATAATAGACTTAAAGAGAGCCAAATCAAGAATGAACTGCCATTCACAATTGCTACAAAAAGAATAAAATACCTTGGAATACAACTCACAAGGAACGTAAGGGACCTCTTTAAAAAAAACTAGAAACCACTGCTCAACGAAGTCAGAGAGGACACAAACAGATGGAGAAACATTCCATGTTCATGGTTAGGAAGAATTAATATTGTAAAAATGGCTATACTGCCCAAAGTAATTTACAGAATCAATGCTATACCCATCAAGCTACCATTGACTTTCTTCACAGAACTGGAAAAACCCACCATGAACTTCATATGAAACCAAAAGAGAGCCCGCATAGCCAAGTCAATTCTAAGCAAAAAGAACACAGCGGGGGGCATCACACTACCGGATTTCAAACTATACTACAAGGCTACAGTAATCAAAACAGCATGGTACTGGTACCAAAACAGAGATGTAGACCAATGGAACAGAACAGAGGCATCAGAGGCAACACAACATATCTACAACCATACAATCTTTGATAAACCCGACAAAAACCAGCAATGGGGAAAGGATTCCCTGTTCAACAAATGGTGCTGGGAAAACTGGCTAGCCATGTGCAGAAAGCAGAAACTGGACCCCTTCCTGACACCTTACACCAAAATTAACTCCAGATGGATTAAAGACTTAAACATAAGACCTGGCACCATAAAAACCCTAGAAGGAAATCTAGGCAAAACCATCCAGGACATAGGAGTAGGCAAGGACTTCATGAACAAAACACCAAAAGCATTGGCAACAAAAGCCAAATAAACAAATGGGACCTAATGAAACTCCACAGCTTCTGCACAGCAAAAGAAACAGTCTCTAGTGTGAATCGGCAACCAACAGAATGGGAAAAAATTTTTGCAGTTTACCCATCTGACAAAGGGCTGATATCCAGAATTTACAAAGAACACAAACAGATTTACAGGAAAAAACAAATAAGCCCATTCAAAATTGGGCAAAGGATATGAACAGACACTTTACGAAAGAAGACATATATGAGGCCAACAATCATATGAAAAAATGCTCATCGTCACTGGTCATCAGAGAGATGCAAATCAAAACCACATTGAGATACCATCTCACGCCAGTTAGAATGGCGATCATTAAAAAATCTGAAGACAACAGATGCTGGAGAGGATGTGGAGAAAAAGGAACACTTTTACACTGTTGGTGGGAGTGTAAATTAGTCCAACCATTGTGGAAGACAGTGTGGCGATTCCTCAAGGCCTTAGAAATAGAAATTCCATTTGACCCAGCAATCCCATTACTGGGTATATATCCAAAGGACTATAAATCGTTCTACTATAAGGACACATGCACACGAATGTTCATTGCAGCACTGTTTACAATAGGAAAGACTTGGAATCAACCCAAATGCCCATTGATGATAGACTGGATTGGGAAAATGTGGCACATATACACCATGGAATATTATGCAGCAATCAGAAATGATGAGTTTGTGTCGTTTGTAGGGACATGGATGAATCTGGAGAACATCATTCTCAGCAAACTGACACAAGAACAGAAAATGAAACACCGCATATTCTCACTCATAGGCGGGTGATGAAAAATGAGAACACATGGACACAGAGAGGGGAGTACTAAACACTGGGGTCTATTGGGGGGAAAAGGGGAGGGCCAGTGGGAGGGGGAGGTGGGGAGGGATAGCCTCGGGAGAAATGCCAAATGTGGGTGAAGGGGAGAAAGCAAACAAAACACACTGCCATGTGTGTACCTATGCAACTGTATTGCATGCTCTGCACATGTACCCCAAAACCTAAAATGCAATAAAAAAAAAAAATGCTTTAAAGTCGAGAGATTATAAAAAATGGATACGTCAATTCAAAGGTACATCTAAAATGCAAAGCAGGGCTATTTAAGTATTTCCAAAATTAGTATAACTTTAAAGGGAACCGGAAATGGCATTTTCTAGCCACTATATCTTTCCAATTTATTAATAATGACAGGTCTTGCAAGTAGCTAGTAGAGTTAATTTGGCAAAGGTGAAAGGGAATCTGCTGTCTTTATCAATCTTGGAAAACTCTGTGCTATATTTCCTCTGGTAGAACATAATCAGGGATGGAAGTAATCCTGTTTGGTGATTATGGGGTGATATTGCCATCTAGTGACCATTTATCGCTGCAAGTGATCTTCTTTTTCTGAGTTATGCAGTAATGAAGAGACAAATCAGATGCATACACTTAAACACTCAAATTTACGTCTCACTAAATTACGAAGTCCTTGAGGAAGGGATCATGGCTACTTATTTGCTTTCCTGCAAGTATTTGTTACCATTGACATGAGAACATGTTCTGGACCCACTTACATAAGCTATGAGAAAGAAGGTTTCATTCCTCATTCCCTCCACCTTCCCCTGCCCCTAACTCTTCCGCTACTCAGGCCTGCTTAGAAGCTGACAACTGTAAAAATTGTGGTAGGACTATCTCAAGTAATTTTCTGTTTTCATGACCACATTACCAATGTAAGTGGCACAACGCAGATGATTAATTAATCAAGTAATTAAGTAAATTATGCATTACTAGCTTATCTTTACTTCTTAAGAAAAATAAGGTAGTGAATTCCTCCAGTTGCCAAATAAAATGTAAGCAAGTTGTCAGCAGAATTTCAGAAACATCAATATAATTATTCTAATAACTATTTTATTGAATGCTTATAATGTGCTAAACATGGTTCTAATTGCTATACGTGCACTGTATCATATAATCCTCAAAACAACTGAAGTAGTTATAAATCTAATTTTAACAGTAAGAAAACAGGCAGAGTAGAAAAAAGAGAAATATGACTACTTCTACTAGTAGGTTGAAAAGCCAGAATTTGAAACCAAGTAATCTACCCATTTTTGGTAGAAAACAGAAAATAACAACTGTTGATAGACTTTAAAAAATATGCAAATATCTCAGTTATTTAACTTTAGTTACCTGAATTACTTTGAAAAATGGATTGCTTTGGCAGATATTCTTTGCAAGACACATATTGAATGACCCAAATTTATAGATGAAAGAATTTATTTATCTATTTGTTAATACATAATGGCCTTGGCCCAAAAAAGACTAATTGGGGCTAAAAAAGGAATGACAGTAACTTCAAAAAATATATTAAACATATCCAAGATCCTAAATATATTATTCTCCCCAAAAGCTAGCTGCTTCCAAACTTGATTTGATATTTTGCATGTTTTCCCTACGTTGCTTGGTAAATATACTTGCTTCTCCTTTCTGCAGTCGACGTCTGACAGCTGATTTTTGCTGTTTTGTCAACTGACGTTTCACCTTCTGTTTCACCACTTCCTGGAAAGATTTCATAAATCAGTATTACTGATAATGAACCATTTCAAAAAGTACACTGCTAATAGCTTTTATATTTGTATGTTGACAGCATGAATTTTTAAGATTCCAAATACTGACAGTACTACATAGAAACTGTTACACAGGGGGAGTTAAATTCCAAATAGAAATACAGATTATATAGCAAAAAATACAGTGTACAGGCAGAATTTTCAAAAAACTACCATAGTGCCACCTAGTGTGCATCATAAAAACTGATGGAAAAGGTGAGATGAAAACTGCCTGTTCCTCTGCTTTTTAGGTTAAAAGTAAGCTTTTTGAATAGATTTTGTAATAGAAAATTATTTTTGAAAGCATTCAGTATTGCTCAATATATCCAAGAATGACTTCACAATTTCGGTTGTAGAAATGACCTGATGGTGGCAATCACCCATGAAAAAGGCTTGATATATCATAAATTCAAGTTACTTATTATTAGTTAAGACACACTGTGCATGTCAAATGACTTACAAGATGAATAAGAAATGTGAAATATTCAGTTCACAATGATCTTTTCTTGCCTGAAGCACTACAGTCTGTTATTTAATAACTGTATATAACCTTGTATCATTCAATGTGTTTCCTAAAAAATATAGCTACAAAATGCTGCAGAGCCAGGAACAAGGGTCTTTTTTTTTTTTTTTTTTTTTTTTTTTTGAGACAGGGTCTCGCTCTGTTGCCCAGGTTGGAGTGCAGTAGCGGGATTATAGTTCATGGTGGCTGCAGTCTCCTGAGCTCAAGTCATTTTTCTGCCTCAGCTGCCTTAGTAGCTGGGACTACAGGTGTACACCACTATACTTGGCTAATTTTTAAGTTTTTTATAGACAGGGGTCTTGCTATGTTGCCCAGGCTGGTCTGGAACATCATTGGCTGGGCGCTGTGGCTCATGCCTGTAATCCCAGCACTTTGGGAGGCTGAGACGGGCTAATCACCCAAGGTCAGGAGTTCGAGACCAGCCTGGCCAACATGGTGAAACCCCGTCTGCTAAAAATACAAAAATAAGCCAGGCGTGGTGGTGGGTGCCTGTAATTCGAGCTACTCAGGATGCTGGGGCAGGACAATAACTTGAACTCAGGAGGCGGAGGTTGCAGTAAGTTGGGATCATACCACTGCACTAGAGCTTGAGTGATGAGCCAAACTCCATCTCAAAAACAAAAACCAATAACAAAACATTTTATACCATTAACATGTAAGGTCCACATGTCTGAGACTGTCTTAAGCACCTTATAGTCCTCACAGTGACCGAGGTCATTAATTTTCAGTTCATATGAAGAATGGCTCATCCATCTCAAACCTGATTATTTTGTCAAGGAACCTACATTAAGTTTTTGAAAGTCATCAGTTTGGATTCTAAGGCAAAATTATTTGAAATTTAGTCAAAAGGCTGCCTAAAATTGAAAAAGAAGGTATTTTGAGTTTTAACAACAAAAAGTCATTTGGCCTTCATTTTATACATAACGGTGAAAGGATTCAACTCTGCCACATCCTTTGAGAAACCATCACTTATTAGAATCAAATAAAGTACTGGTTTCAAGACTAAGTCAAAAAGCAATCAACAGAAGTCTGTACCTGAAAAGCATGCATTATTTGTTTAATCACAGTAGTGATCTAATAAACATTCAGTACATGTTGAATGACTACTTACCGGAGGAATTGTTGAACAGCTTACAACACTGCCTGAAGAAGTGATACTCAGAGTTCTTATTCTATACTGATTGATAGCTCCCATATTTTCTTCATCTCTAAAATTAAAAAACCCACAATTTATCTAGTTAATTTGTATAGTGTAATGAATCCCATTTAATTTATATTATTTTTTGCATACAGAACAACTGAAGACATAAAATACTGCAGAAAGATTATATTTCAAAATTTCTGTGAAGATAAAACTACCTACTGCTAAGTTCTGTATATTAACAATTTGTATTTTCCAGCATTCTGATAGTCACTATCAAAATTTCAAAATAGTAGAATGCTTTAGCCATGGAAATCTATCACCACCCCACAATTCATCTTCCCTTTTCTAATAATCCTTTCCTCTTCTTTCACTGAACTATAGAAATAATATTTCTCCCAATCTAAATTTTTGAGACTGTATCCAATTTCACAAACAACAGAAGATATAATGGAAACAGACAGTACTCATTTTAGTCAGCTCTGCTAAGGTAGGAAAAACTGCAATCTAAAGACTAATGCTTTCACATGGCTCAAAGTTTCAATATATGCAATGTATAAAAACTCAGACAGTATTAACTCCTAACAATTAATATTTTTCAGCAACATCTGCTGTTCTGCTTTTACTTGAAATAAAAGTTTGGCTCAGCATGTATCCAGAGAGTGAGAACAAAATTACTGTTCCCATTCTGAGTTTAAAAGACCATTTAATCCTATGCAGGTTTTCTTCTATCACTGTGGTTAATTTTATATGTTAACTTGACTGGACCACAGGGTGCCAGATATTTGGTTAAACATTAACCTAGGTGTGTCTTTGAGGGTGTCTCTGAATCAGTAAACTGAGTATAGCAGATTGCCCTCCCAAGTGTGGGTGGACCCCATCCAACCCATTGAAAGCCTCATCAGAACCAAAAGGCAGAGTAAGAGAGAATTCACTTCCTGGGACATGGGTCCTTCTCCTTTCTTTGGATTGGACTGGAACTTACATTACTGACTCTTCTGGTTCTCAGCCCTTTGGATTTGGAACATATGCTTTCTGGGACTTCTCAGCTTCCATAACCCCATGGGCTAATTCCTTATAATAAATCTCCTATTTATTCTGTTTCTCTGAAGAACCCAGACTAATACACTTACTCAAAATCCTGACCCTCTCTCACTCCCGACTCTTAAGCTTCTGATTAAGTTTTCCAAGTTTATTATTCAAATGGCAGTAGCCCTGTGACACAGATACACAGCTACATGAAAAAGGAACAAAACTCTCAGGTTTTGCTTCATGAATAAAACTGTAAAGATAAAGATAGGCTTAAGATATAAGTCCAAACATGTACTGAAAAATGTTCAATAAATTGCTGATCTAATTTTAATTGTCATATTACTATTTTGAATAAAACCAATATTTCATTAAACTAGTTTGATTCTGAATATGCTATCCCAAATCCAAAAGTTAAGTTTTAGTTTGCTAACCTAAGCTGAGTTTAATATTTGACAAAAAAAAAAAAATTCTTAAAAGAAAACATCATTATATAACTTTAACTATACATGAACAAAGAACTGAAGGCTCAAGGTTCTAGAGAAAACTCACTGCAGATGTTTCATGTAGAAAGTAATAAAAACATTTATTGCATGTTTTAATTTTTACATGCCTTTATATAACTCAAACACATCAGATGCGTAATTAGGAAAATATATGAGGAATAACTCATCTATCTAAAACCTGATCAATGTATCCAGAGACCTACATTAATTTGAAAGTCATCAGTTTGTATTTTTTTTTTGAGACAGAGTTCTTTGCTCTTGTCACCCAGGCTGTTGTGCAGTGGTGCCATCTCAGCTCACTGCAAACTGCCTCCCAAGTTCAAGTGATTTTCCTGTCTCAGCCTCCCATGTAGCTGGGATTACAGGCACACACCACCATACCTGGCTAATTTATGTATTTTTAGTAGAGACAAGGGTTTTGCCATGTTGGCCAGGCTGGTCTCGAACTCCTGACCTCAGGTATAGGACCTCAGGTCTGCCTCCCAAAGTGCTGAGATCATAGGCATGAGCCAACATACCCGGCCATCAGTTTGTATTTTAAAGCAGAATTACTTGAAATATAGTAACAGGCTACCTAGAATCAGGTCAATTAAAAAGGAAGCTATTTTGAGTTTTTAACAAAAAATTATTTGGCTTTCATTTTACATATAAAGATGGAAGAATACAATTCTGCCACATCATATCAACAAACCCAGCACAGTGGCTCACGCCTATAATCCCAGCACTTTGGGAGGCTGAGGCAGGTGAATCACGAGGTCAAGAAATCGAGACCATCCTGGCCAACATGGTGAAACCCTATCTCTACTAAAAATAGAAAAATTAGCTGGGCGTGGTGGCAGATACCTGTAGTCCCACAGCCACTTGGGAGGCTGAAGCAGAAGAATCACCTGAACCTGGGAGACACAGGTTTCAGTGAGCTGAGATGGTGCCAATGCACTCCAGCCTGGTGACAGAGTGAGACTCCAAAAAAAAAAAAAAGCAATCAACAAAAGTCTATACCTGAATTCTCTGTTTAATGATGACAAGGCAATTAGATGAGGGCATTCATCTTCATGCTCTTCGGAGCCAGCAGAGATTCCTCCTTGAACTGTCTGACCATCTTGCCCAGTGTAATTTTCAGTTCTGCTTTTCTCTTCAGAAAATTCAGTTACAGAGTTGTTTTCAACAATCTGCCCTTTTATTTCTTCTAAAGCTTGATGGAATTCATTCATTTCAAAACTCTGTGCATCAGCGCTCTCTTCTGATAAACCATCTTCTTTTATTTGTCTAGGGTCTCCAGATGATCTGCAATCACAGCCCTCTGATTCCTCTAGAGAGTTCTGCTCACTTTCATTTTCTGACCTATAAACCTCTGTTTTTTCTTCCACTTCTTCATCAGAAAATGAGAATTCAGATCCGTCTTCTGTTGCACTATTTTTATAATCTGGACCTAATGGATGAAGCAGTTCATCATCTGCCTTCATTTCCTTTGTGTAGCCACTGGCAGAAACCTCCACATCAAGAGTGTCCTCCCTCCTAGAAAAAAAAAATGTGGCAAGCATTGAAAGAGAAAAAAATGTTTATCTGAGAGGAGCAAGTATCTACTATTCTGATAAATTATGATTCAAGTGAGTTTAATGGCTTATATGTTAAAAATAATTTTCTCTTTCCCTATGTGTCATTTAAATATTACATTGAAATATTACAAATATGAAAGGCATATATGCTGTCATTTTAATAACTGAAAAATGACAATATAAATAAAAAGGTCATAAAAATCTCAGCTTATGTTTATTAACTTTGTAAATTAACTTTCAAATGGGGCTAAAGATTTCCTTCAGATAATGCAACTCCTCCCATATCAGAAAATATCTTTTAAGTGTATAAAATAAATATGAGAAAACTGAACTTTGAGAATACACATATTATGTCTTGAGAATCAATTAAAGATACCTCCTGCTTTCAATAAAGGAAAAACACAAATTTCAATGCATATTTGGTGTGATTCCTTATGAATGAGTTATTCACATAGCACCCAAAATAGAATTAAAAGTTCTTGAATTTATAAGAAATTAGATATATTCCTTCCTAAAATTCAGTAGCAGTGCCTTAATGGACCAATTGCAAGAATTTTCAAGTTTTAAATTTCAGTTATGTACTACAGAGCAATGACATCTAACAGTGATTATGTGATAAAATTGGAAAAATTTTTTAGATGAAAAACTTTCAGAAATACACAGACAAGGTAAACTGTCCTATCATGTAAAGCAATGGGGAGTACACACCTGATATCCCTCAAGGTTGGAAAAAGCTCACTTTCATAGCTGAAACGTTTCAAGAAGAAATCTCTAATGCATTTAACATCTCGGTCAAAATACCTGCAAAAGTAAGGATCATTTATGATGTAGCCTTTATTGCTCATCTTTTTTCTTATCAGCCAATGACAGTATCTTTATTAGTTAATGGTACTGCTCCTCCTTAAACAAGGAGATAAAAGATGTTACACAAAAGAAAAAAACATACAAACGAGTTACCAGTGTGTTCAAAAAACTAAAATCCAAGGAAATCTCAAGGAAACTAAGCTGTCAATGCCATGCAGTTCCTATGGTTAGGAAAGTCAAGGTTTTCTCATAGTTGCTGGTACATAGTTAGATACACTCGGGAAAGACAAGTGTGAACCCCAGGAAGTAAGATTATGGGCCTACGGTTTGGGGATAGGTTTCTACTTAACTTCTTTGTCCTGAGTCTGGCTATGCTTCCTATCAGCAATACTCAAGAGAACCCCTAGCAACTGAAAGAGCTTAAGATAAAAAGATATTAATATTAAATAAGTTTGGAGACTACTGAATTATGTTTATATATCTTTGTTATATCCAGTAGCCAATTTGCAATAACACCCAAAGGATAAATGCTATAGCTTATAAAAGTAATCTGAAGACAGGTTTATCTGGACCCAAAGTAGAATAATTTCTTAATATCACATTGCCTTTTTGGGCCACCATAAAGCAGCAAAAATGGATTCAATTCTCTAGATTTCCAGACAAGGAGAATAAGGACAGGATAACGTGGAACTGACTATCTCTTTGTGAAAGATGAAATCTGGAAATAGGACAATGCCTCTCCTCTTTGCTCACAGGGCACTCTGGGAAAGATACTAATACATTTTAAAAAGACTTATTTTTATATGTTTACATCTCCCTATGAGACAGTAACTTCTTCTAAAGCGTATACAGGGCTTATTTATCTCTCAATCTCTAGCACTTACCACAGCTCCTTGGGCCCAGTACTGTTCATAAAAACTGAAATTAAATTACCATGTCTCCCCATAGAATGATGCCACCTAAACCTAGAATGTCATAATCTGCTACACTCTGATGGCTCCTAGATGTTCCATTATTGTGTGACTATGTTATTCCTTATTAATAAAAATGGTGATTAGTCATCATCCAAAGAGTACTGACCACCTGAGTGCCAGGCATTAGTCTTTTAGTATTTTGTTGAAAACATTTAAAAAATTTATTTTCAAATGACATTTCTTTCTATAGCATATGTATACACATTTTCTACCGGAAACCAGGATGAAGACAAACTTCACTACTTCAAGCTCAATCTCTGCAAGAATTAATATACTCTATTATATAACTGATACTAGTCATTAGTTGAGGAAAAAGAAGTTTCTCGTAAAGCTTGTAACAGAAATTTAAAAAATCCTTAGTTATACCCAGTTGAATCATGAACTACAAGGAAATAAAGGAAAAGGTCTTATTTCGTGACTTGGCTGGTTTAAATAAATAATGTGAAGAATATGATTACTATAGTATATAGTGATTCTGCTCTGTGTCAGAGATAAAGTTTTATGTGAAATTTTTTCTAATAGTAAAAGCTAAAAGTGACAAGAGATAATTATCATTGGTTTGACAACTGAGTCTAGTCCAAAACCACAACTTTTATTCAGATCTTTGGGATTACTGGGTTATGCTTGGTGAATCTCTCTTGGAGGCAATCATGGAACAGCAAGAAAAAGGGAAAGGCAAAAGTGGTTCTAGGGTTCCCTGCCTCATTCCCTACTTTTACCTATTTTAACAGTGGGCAGCCATCTAAAAGTCTGATTGAACAAAGGGTTCCATGGCTAAGACAATTTGACTTTTGAGCATCTGTCTAATTACAACAGAGAAATTCAAATTCTTATGGGGAAAACTCTAGTAGTCAGATATACTTTAATAGAAAGAAAAGTTTTTATAACATTAACACTAGCTACTTCAAACCAGTTACCGACATAAATAATGATATCACAAAAAATAGGATCTTTTTCAGTCATAATTTTTGTTTGGATAGATCCCAAACAAACACATTCACATCCAGAATCAATAATGGCATGTACGTACCACTCAGCATTGGGATGAGACGTCGAAATCATCTGCGGAAAATCAATCATGGTGATATGGTCATTGTCATCCAAAATGAGATTAAATTCATTAAAATCTCCATGAATCAGCCCATGATTTGCAAGTTTGACAATTAGTTCCATAGCTTCATCATATACTGAAGCAGGATCTTCAACATGGTGTATCTGACATCTGAAAGTATTTTAAGAATGAAAACAGATTATTTGTATTTGTTTATGGTTTTAATCACAGTATGTATACATGTGAACATATATATTATTTCCATGCCCTGTCTCCCCAGTATTTTTTTCATTCCCATCAGCACACAGATACATCTCCCATCTATTAAAAAAAAAAAAAGCCACACTCTGCTTCAATTCTGTATCTTTTTTCCACTACCTTTTTTTCATCTTTACAGCCAAACTTGTCTACATGTGCTTTTTCCAATTTGTTTCCTCCCACTCTCTAATAAACCCATTTCAAACAGGCTTTTATCCACCTTATTTCAGTGAAATAGCCTTTGTGGAGACTACCAATGACTTCAATGTTGCTAAATTCAGAGGTCAATTCTTAGTCCTCACCATATGTGGTCTGTCAGTTGACCTCTTTGAAACATTCTCTTAATTCTTGGGACACCATTCTCTCCAGGTTTTCTTCCTTCCTCATAGCTCAAACCTTCTTGGTCTTTTCTTTTAGTATTTCATTTCTTTCCTTTACCTCTAAATTCTGGAATTCCTCAAAGGTCAAGCCTATGACCTTCTATTTTCTATTATTTAGACTCACTTTTGGTTATCTCATCTAGGCTAATGGTTTAAATACCATATATACACTGATTTTAACCTAGACTTCTTGAACTCCCAGGCATCTCAAACTTACCGTGTCCAAAATGGAATCTCTGATTCTCTCCCACCCTCCAACTCCTCCAAAATGCTCTTCCTATAGCTCTATTTCTGTACATGGTAGCTCTCTCCCTCCAGTTAATTTGCTGCTCAGGCCAAAAACCTTGGTGTCACCATTGACTCATCCCTTCCTTCACATCCATATCCAATCCCAAATCATGTTGGTTCAACCTGCAGAACACATTCAGCATCTGGCCACTTTTCATCACCTTCACAACTATCACTGTAATCAAGAACTACAACTATTTCTTGCCTAGATTATGATAATAGCCTCCTAACTTGTCTTCCTAATTCTGTCTTTGTCTCCCCAGAGTCTATTAATTCAGCAGGCAGAGTGACCCTCTTAAAACATTGACATCACTGACTGATGAGATCACCTCTTCTCTGCTCAAAATATTCCCACTCCAATGACTTCTAATCTGAATCAAAATTTGATAAGGTTTTACCTTATCAGTGAGACTTTTCCTGACCACCCTACATAAAACAGTAGTCTCCTGTCCCCAGTAAGTACTTCCTTTCTCCCTTACTCTGCTTTATTTTTATCCATAGTGCTTACTAACAACTGATATACATTTCCTTTAGTTAGTCCATATTATCAGAATAAAACTGTTTTTAATTTGTCTTTGAGTCTATTCCTTTAAATCAATTTTTAACTTCCCAGAGACAACAGTTCATTAACTAAAAAATTTTTATTACAAACCCTGAAATTTAAATTTATTTCTCAGAATTCATGGTGTTAAGAATAATGAATACTTACAGTGGATAACCATTTATGAGTTCCATGACCACTGCATGACGATTGTAATCAACTGGCTTTGGAACTGGAAATTTTCTCTCATACAATGCCTAAAACATAGCAAAACAGCTGTAAGCTAATGAAGAGGTCATTACTCTTTAAAGAACAATAAAAGTAAACACACCTTTCTATAGCAAGAAGAAAAACACACAATTGTTTATAAAATTATAGTTAACACGGGATTACTTATGCATAACTTATTTATTCACTGTGCAGAATAAACCATACATAAAAAACAAATTTTAAACAAAAGTTTGAATTCACTTTTCTGCCAAAAATGAACATTTACAAAATTGAGTGTTAAAAAGTTTCTAAACACTCTATAATTAGTGTTAAAAAGCCCCCAAGAAGCTTACAGTCTCTTAGGGGTATATCCTTTCCTATTCTGTAATTCTCTGGCATTTGTTGAAAAGTGCTGAAAATATTCAAACTAGAAATAAATTGTAATTTAGGAAATACTCATCTTCTGACATATTAGGAAATGAGGCATTCTAAGAGATCAGATATATTGGTTTATAGGGCACCGACCTTTTTCTCCAGACCACAATATGCAATATAAATCTATTCTGTGAAAAACATAATACACTGTTGTAGGCTGAGTCTCTGAGTTATTTAAGACTATCCATACATCTTTTCACCTAAGCTTACTGTCTTCAACGTTATTGTTTACAAAGCCCTGCTATTACTTCCTTGAAGTAGGTATTCACTTTAGATTTATGCCCTTTGACATTTAAAATGCTAGTATTAGGAATGGTATAAACTGCAATTACTTTTGCACCAACATAGTGTAAGGAGACATTTGTTATTTATACTTCATTACTCCGCCAGTGTTCTAGTTCTTGCCATCATACCTATCCTATTTTATGTACCAATACCAGACTAACCTGCTGATGCCAATACTCCATTTAAAAAATATACACTGGCTGTGTTATTTTCAGTTTGAACAACTCTTCCTGGTTTTCAAAACTCTTCAATCTACTTGTACAGTCCTACTTCTCCCAATATTCTCTCCAATACGCACCAAGAAATGCAGTCAGGACAGTTACCTCAGTGTCACCTAAACACATAGGGCTAACATATATTCATGTATTTGCCCATACTGGCTTCTCTGCCAAAATACACTGTCTTAGAGTCAAGTAATATCCAAGCTTCATGGCTCCACTCAGCTCCTACTCACTACCTGAAACTTCCTTCATCAACTACTCTATCATTTACTAAAGTTTCTCTAAACTCAGTATATAATTTAAAAAAAAAAAAGTTCTTAGACTTGCAGGGCTCACGCTTATAACCCAAGTACTTTGGGAGACTGAGGTGGGTGGATCTCTTGAGCCCAGGAGTTTGAGAGCAGCCGGGGCAACACAGCAAGATCAGATCTGCAAAGCAGGCATAGTAGCACATGCCTGTGGTCCAGATACTTGGGAGGCTGAGGTGGGAGGATAACTTGCGCCCAGAAGGTCAGGGCTACAGTGAGCTGTGATCATGCCACTGCATTCCAGCCTGGGTGAGAGTGGGACCTTGTCTCAAAAATAAATAGATAGATAGATTCTTTGTTTCATGTGTGTTTGTGTTATCTTCTCAACTTTAAGACACAGATTGTACTGGTTATTTCTTTGGCATCCACTCCTTTATCCTACACTACCCCAGCAATTAATTTCAAAAGGCTGTCTCGCTTACCTTCTGTGAACAAGAACCAAACTACTTCCTACTTCCCAGAGATTTTTATTTGCTTTGTTTTTAAGTAATTTTTTTCAACATAGACCATTTTGAACATAACTTGGCAGATCAATAGCAAGTGATAACCTTAAACATTGTGAACATTTGTCTATAATTTGTGCTATAGCCTAGACGTCATGCTATAGCCTAATCTTTATCTTATTTTTTCTCTGTTATAAAAAATCAATATATTTAAGGAATGCATTTATGTGCAATGAGATTCCATTCCTATACCTTCCATATAAATATCCTGAAAAACACCTACTACAGTTTTGGGAAAATGTGTAATGATCCCTACCAAGCTGCTAATTTACTGACTATTATAAGACATAAACTATTAGTATAAGACAATAAATACACAACATGTATGGTATCAGTAGTACTAGTTTATACTGCCTTAAGAAATCTTCCATGATTAGTAAACATTTAAGCATAGAATATAACGTACTCAAAGAACAACAAATTGAATCCTCAAGAAACAGGTGTTTACACACTGTGCCAATCCTCCATTTAAATTTTTTTTTAAAAAATGAAGATAAATTATGACAAATCCTATTGGCAGAATAACAAAAACACAGTATTATCTTTCGTTTAACCTAGTTATTATTGAATATATTTTATTTGGCTATTATATTTAACAAATTTATGCTGAACTTAATTTTGAAGGCAAAAAGTTAAAAATTTTCTTCAATGTAAGAATAGAGTACAATTGTAATTCATCACTACCATAACATATGTAGTCAAGTTCCAATACTTGGGGAAACTGCAGAGGTAAGAAGCACACCTGAAGTAAAATGAAAAGGCCTAACCCTGAGAAAACCATCTTTGCAATTATGGCATTTCATCTGCAAGGTTAAGTATTTTTTTTCTATTTGTACAAATGTATGAGGTACATGTAACATTCTGTTAAGTATATATGAGTAGTGATCAAGTCAGGGTATTTAGTGTGTTCATCTCCTGAGTAAAATACATTTCATTTACTATAGTCACCCTACACTGCTGTCAAACATTGAATGTGTTCCTTCTAACTATATGTTTGTACCCTTTAACCCACTTCTCTTCATCTTTTCCTCTTACAAACTAAAGATTTTTACCTTTTTTTTTTTTTTGAGACAGAATTTTGCTCTGTCGCCCTGGCTCAAGTGCAGTGGCATAATCTTTACTCACTATAACCTCTGTCTCCTGGGTTAAAGTGATTTTCCTGCCTCAGTCTTCCAAGTAGCTGGGATTACAGGTGCCCACCCCCAAGCCTGGATAATTTTTGTATTTTTATTAGAGATGGAGTTTCACCTTGTTGGCCAGGCTGGTCTCCATTACATCAAGAAATCTGCCTGCCTTGCCCTCCCAAAGTGCTGGTATTACAGGCATGAGTCACTGCGCCCAGCCAATTTTTACCATTTTTAATATTCAGATAAGTCTATAAATGACGTTTGTTCCACTATGTGAAACAAAAAACTAGCCAACTTATCTGAGACATTAAGGTTTCCACAGATGGTAATTACTTGGTATTTTCAATTAGAAACAGACAAATATATAGTTGTATGTATTGAATAGATATATATACACCCAAACATAAAATATTTGTGAGGTAACAGCATATTAACTGTTTTTGGTTCTTCCATCTTGTCAATATTATAGAATGTGTTGCCCTTATGAATTAATAACAATTTAAAATACCTTAACATAGAAGGGAATCACTTAAAAGAGCCCAAATAATCAACAGAATTATTTAGGGATTGAGTCTGTCTGTAGGCATTGAGTCTGAGGTTAGAGAGATGTGGGAGCAACAGAATCAAACTTGACATTAAGGCCTTTGAGACACATGTATTATTTGGCTAAAACATTCATGACTATAAAATAAATACCTTCATATAGGCAAATTCCTTCATGGCAGAGAGACGAGATAAATAAAGCCAAGAAACATTATGCCTATGTTTATGATAATCACGTTTGTTTTTCAGATTTCGAAACGAGGTTCTTCCTAGTCTGTAAAGCTTTAATGCAAATTGCTGTCCTTCTTCATTTGCAACAATGTAAATATCTAGAGACAAGATTTCAAAAAAATCATTATTACAGGTTTATTCCAATCATGTAAAACAATTCTAACTTTGTCTAATTTTATTTGTATCAAAAATGTCATTTTTCTTAATAAAGGCTGAATATCCCTTATCTAAAACTTTCGGACCAGTAGTCATCTGAATTTGGGAATATTGGGACACAAATAGTGAGATATCTTGGAAGTTATTAGAAGAAAATTCCTAGTATAAATAAATTTTCAGTGACAGACTTTCAGATAAAATAATAACCTACTAATTAAGGGTACCTTCTGATTTATATTGATTCCAACCAACTTTCCAATTTACTGTTTAGTTGGAAAAAAAGGAAAATTAAAATATGCTTTCTGAAGGGAAAACATAAATTAAATCAAAGCAAATACTTTCCACAGTACTATCAGCACTTACCTGATTCTTTGCCAACACCCAGCTGGTTTCCAACAGACTCAACGACTTGCCTAGAAGAAAGTGTTTTCAAAGCTAGGTAATCATATCCTGCATTTGTCAACCGGTAGCCCTGGACAGCTACACAAAATCAAAGGAGAAAAACCACATTTTAGTTACACTATATAACCAAGTCACTTAAGTTCAACTCAAAAGAAAGATTTAACAGTGGAAAATCTTTATTGGAAGCTCAGGCTCACAAACTTCCAATTTCTTCCTATAATTTGCATTTCTTCTCCAGTGTGCTGTTAAAGTGTGACCTACAGACTGAGGTCTATATGTGTTTGTGATGAGATAAAAAAAGGCATTTAGGTTCAATTTTATATTAATTTGACCTAGAATTTATGTCTGATTTTATTTTTTTTTTATTTTATAAAAGTAAGGATCTGTGATAGGTTTGAAAAAACGAATCCCTCACCACAGATGGTTTAAGTAATTCTCTAGAGTATGACTGCTGATTGTATTTTCCAAAGATGGTAGCCACAGTATCTCTATCCTACATGCTCTTCTGCAGTTCTGCAGTACCCTACACGTTCTTCTGCGGTACCCTACATGTTCTTGAGCTGGGAGTGTCCTGTGACTGTTTTGATTAATAGGATATGGCAGAAGTATGTTTTGTCAATTCTTTGTCGAATGCTTTACTAGTCTGGCAACTTCTACTTCTTGCCTTTTGGAACACTTGCTCTGGAGGAAACCAATTACCTGAAAACTCACAAATGGTGCCTCAAAATACTTACTTTTGGTACGCTCCCAAGCTATGAGTTTATGTTTCACTAATTCTCTTAAAACTTTATTACAGCCACCATGTTTAAGGCTGGCTATAGAAGCAATCAAACTGCCAGGAACAATTTCATGGTTCTTCATGCCCATTTCAACCTGAAATTAAGGGAATCATTATGTAATCATAATCAACACAAAACTTTATCTATCAAAACCCTGCTAAGAAATGAACTTCTCCTTGAAACTTTCCTTACTATGCTGTTCTCTAACTAATTCTGAGACATAATCACTTCCATCTCCGAAACTATTTTAAAATTGCAATTTGAGATCTAATCACTGGTATTTATATTGTCTTTCCATTTCAAGAGTAGGAATTTTGAGTTCTACACATACTGATGACCTTTTGGAAATGCTAAAGTATTTGATAACATATAAACATTTGTCTTTAAAAACTACAGATATGCAAGTATTTATTAAGCAGGTATTTAATGAGAAAGTACTACATGTAGGCATTGTAGAGGATGAAAAATATATATGTAAACACTTTTTACCCCTGAGGAATTTTTATCTCATGATGGAAATTTTTGAAAATGGTATACATCTAAGTTTATTAGAAGGTAAGAAGTGATAAGTGCTTAAAAAGGTAGCTCAGGGTAAATGAATACTTCTAGCTGAGGGATCAGTTCCAAGGAAGATGCAAACTAGAGACTGACTTTTAAAAGATGTGGGCATACAGAGAAAACAGACAAGGGGATATTAGTGAAAGAAAAAGATTTAAAAATGGCACATATGCAAGAAAGTACTGACCACAGAGAATAGCTGAGTACAGTGGCAACTCAGATGGGACAGCACATAGAGTTCACGCAAAGGCGGCTGGAAGATACTTCTAGGATACAGAAGGCATTGAAATGTAGACCAAAAAATTTTATATTTTACCCTGAGGAAAGCAGGAAACTCTTAAAGATGTTTAGGCATGGAATACACATGAACAGGATTATTTTAAGGACATTAATCTGCCAGAAATATGCAAATTGGCTTAGAGATGGCAAAATCTGAGGAGGTACTCTGGAGAACTAAGACAGAAGTCCAGCTCAGGGGAAAGAGCAACCAGAACAGGGCAAATGGTAGTGGTACTGGATGAAGGAATTAAAGATCTTTAGGAAGTATTACGGGAGACCTTGGCAATTAGATGCCAAGGGTATGAAAAGTAAAGGTAAAGGTAAAGGGAAGGGTAAAGGGAATGAAAAGCCACAGCTGGAAGTGAAGAGGAAAAGGAAGTTTTAAGATTATATATATATATATATATATATATATATATATATATATATATATATATTTTAAAGAGTTTGGGAAAAGAGAAAGAGGGTAGAAAAAAATTGAATTTAATTTGAGCACATAGAGTCAAGTAAAAACGTTTGAAGGAAAATTGGAATGGGGTCTGCACTTAGGAATGAAGTTGTAATTAGAAGGAAAAATAATCATTTATTTTACAGAGGTGAGACTTGAAGACATGAAGTGGATGCAATCACTGAGCAAGAGATAACAGAAGAAAAAGGAATGCTAGGGAGAAGAATTCTGGGGCAAGTTCATATTGAAAGTCAAGGGCAGCTAGACTAACAATGATTATTGATATAGGAGGAGCCAAAAAGGGAAGAGAGGCCCAAGGAAGGTTACCAACACTGGTGAGATGCAAATGAGCCGAATGTTATATTTAATGATGAAGTCATTTCTTGGTGAGCTTTAAAGATAAATATTGCAGAGTCAATGTTTTGTAAGATAAATCTGGCATCATTTTGATGTCTCACCAAAACCTTAACTTTTAAATTTAACTTATTTTCTGTGCTTTGTCTCTGCCTCCTCCATCCTGTAACACTCTTTTGACCCCTACTTCTTCAGAGGCATTAAGGAATGCATGTGCTGAGGAAGCAGAAAAAGAAGGTATCTTTCAGAGGTGACAGGTTTCATAAGGGAAGTCTACATGAGGAGAAAGTAAAGTGTGTTCCAAATTTCACACTGACTTTGCATTTGATAGTTTAATCCTTAAGTGCTGACTATTTAATTAAAAAATACATAATACAAGAGTTGGTGTGACTCATATCACATATCCTATTACATAACATAGGTCGTCCTTATCATGGGGTTCATTTCTTACCAAAAGATAACAGCTCCTAAATAAATGTACTGCTTTACTGTACAAATGTTTAGATCTATATATTAATTTCTGGGCCATAAGACTAAGGCCATAAAATCATATTTTGTTACTCCCCTGATTAAAAACATTCAGTGGTTATCCCCGCATTGTTTACCAAGCCTGCAAGGCTCTGTAGTACATAATCTGACTCTCACCTTTTCCAGCTACATCTCCAACCATTAGTGTCTCCAGCCACACTGGCCTTTCCTCTCTTCAACGACTTTTCTGTCTTAGGGACTTTGCATTTATTACTCCTTTCTCCTCTGCCTCCAACTCTTTCCAAGGACTTCACCGGGCTGTCTCCTTCTCACACGGCTCCTATTACTCCCCCATTCATTCTTTCGATTACCGAATATTTATTCATTGTCTACCAAAGGCCAATAACTAGTGCCCCTCCTCTCCCGTAATACTTCCTAAAGATACATATCTTTCTATTCCATTACCCTTTATCAATTTCATAGCGCTTATCCATTACCCTACTTATTCGTTTACTTGATGATCTGTGTCTCTCTCTCCACTTGCCCGTTTTGTACCTTGTTGAACCTCCTGATGTTGTTACTAAAATCCCGACAAATACGTGTTGATTGAATGAATCAGAAAGACTGCTAGGCGACTGAATCTACTAAGGAAGTCAATATTACCAAATCTCAGGAGGAACCTTAAACTTTTCACAGCTGGTAGGAAGCTCAGGCTCAGAGACGTTTCCAGGCCACAAAGATGCGAGCATTTCTCTTAAGCACAAGGAGAACAGCAGCAGAAAAGAAGAAAATCATTAGAAGACGGGGCCTTTGCCCTATTTGGGGTTAGGTAAGTTTCCAAACAGCTTTTTAAAAATCCAACTCTGCTGCTCTGTTCTCCATTCTCAAGTTCTGCCACGTCCCGGGTCCCAGAGAGGGCCTGCTCAGATCCCGGAAAACTTCAAGGAACAGGAAGAACACAGTGAGAAGGGACAGGGAGAATAAAAACGGCGGGTTCCTTACCGCGGTCAAGACCCTGAAGTCATCTCGGCTCATGTAACGCAGCTTGGCCACATTCACCTTCCCCATGGCTACCTCAGTTCGGACCTAGACGTCTTTCACACGACAGCCGGAAAGCGCAGAGCACGTCGCTATTCCAGCCTCTCACGCACTTTACAGCGGTCAAATGGCTCGCGCATGCGCTGCATCTTATTATAGGTCCTTAATAGCTAGAAGAGCTAATCTCATTGGTATAGGAAAATAAAACTATATGTTTTATGAAGCATATAGTATAGAAAAAGGGAGTATTTTATTTTTGCGAAATTTTTGCATTATGGCTGAGTTGGCGGAGTGTAGATGTTCTCCACAATATGCCTTTTTAACCCATATCTGTCAGGACTTGCTGCCTGAATGACGCGTGCCGCCTCACAGAGCAAAGTGGTAACTTAATGGGAGGAGCAAATTCTTCCCGCAAACAGCTAGTTTAGGCAAAGTGACTGCTAACCTGAACCACAGTCCAGACAACCAAATCTGTTAAAGGTAGAGGACTGTAATCACACAAGCACGCCCTCTACTCCTAATTGCGCCAGCTCCAGACAGCCCCGGAACGGGTTGTTAATGGAACTCCTGTGCTTGCTAAGTACTTCCCTTAAATTGTCCGTGAGGCTTCGGAGTGCGCCTGCGCGGTTTAGGGCTGGGGTTTTAAGGTGAGACGTGGAAAGCGACCGCGATCCTTACTCTCAGGGAAGTGGGCATTTTGATAGTTCAACCTGGCCAGCGCGAGTAGGACTTTGAGGTCCCAAGAGCAATTTAAAGATTTTAGAATAGTTACCCATGCTGGCTCTGCAACTCCGGAGCGGGACTATAGGCTAGTTGTACCCCAACAAAGAGGATGACTATGATCTGCTCTGTGTTTCCAGGTAGGATAGTTAGTGCTCTGAAATCACAGAATGGAAAAGGAAAAACAGCCTTTTATTCCCTCTGTATTCAAGCCTTTGGCTGCTTTCTGCGTGAATACCCGATATCATTGATTCACCGTATTCAACCAATGAACATCTCCATTTAAATGAAATTTTTCTTTCTGTACTTGTTAGAGAAACTCGAGCCAAGACGAACAGAGAGACTGAGACACAAGAGAATCTCTTTATTGGAGCTTCAGCTGACGGTGGCCGTACTGCCCGTAATTGCTGCCAGCCCCGCACAAAGGAAAATAACTTGCTTATATAAATTTTGGCGCGGGACGATAAGGCAGGGAAAAAGGGGTTTAAACAAAGACAGTCACTGACTTGTGACAAGTTTTACAACCTTGAGAATACATACACTCCAAGCGGTATCTCATTCCCCCCACTGGCAGCTGGGGAAGAAAACAGGTTTTAACAGAAATATGCTTGTGGGCTGAGGGTACAAAAATATGTTTGGGTGCTTTATCTTGGGAGGAGGTTATGTTGGGTCTGCTTTAACTGCAGGCAATTTTAGGCTGGGAGGGTTGCTCCTCTGTTCTTTATGATTATTTTTGTAGCCTAGTCTTAAAGCTTGTTATCTATTAAAAGTTAATTTCTATTTTTATTTTTCCTACTCATACTTACATAAGAAGACATAAAAATGATTTATTATTTATCTTTATTTTTTGAGACTCCTGCTCTTTCGCCCAGGCTGAAGTACAGTGGATCCATCTCAGCTCACTGCAACCTCTGCCCCCCTGATTCAAGCAATTCTCCTCCCTCATCCTCCTCAGTAGCTGGGATTATAGGCGTGCACCACCACGCCCAGCTAATTTTTCTATTTTTAGCAGAGACAAGGTTTCACCCTGTTGGCCAGGCTGGTCTCCAACTCCTGGCCTCAAGGGATCCGCCTGCCTCAGGCTCCCAAAGTGCTGGGATTACAGGCGGGAGCCACCACGCCTGGCTGAAAAGTTTTCAAAGAAACCAAGTGGCCAGGCGTGGTGGCTCACGCCTGTAATCCCAGCACTTTGGAGGCCAAGGCGGGTGGATCACCTGAGGTTGGGAGTTCAAGACCAGCCTGATTAACATGGTGAAACCCCATCTTAAAAAAAAAAAAAAAAAAAGAAACCAATTGACTAAGTTTATTAGTACAAATTTATGGGTACATGAGAAATTTTTTTTACATGTATTTAGGGTGTCTATCATCCAAATACAATATATTTTTGTTTAACTATAGTTACCCTATATTACTATCAAACATTAATATATTCCTTCTATCTGACTGCATATCAAAAAAGTTTTTTAATATGACCATGGAAGCACAGACAACAAAAGCAAAACAGACAACTGGGATGTAATCAAACTGAAAAACCTGCACAGCAAAGGAAATGATTAACAAAATAGAGAGAAAACCCATAGAAGGGGGGAAAATATTTGCAAACCATACCTCCGATAAAGGGGTTCATACCCAAAATGTATAAGGAACTCAAAATATTTTTAAAATGGGCAAAGGACCTGAAAAGACATTTATCAAAGATGACACACAAATGGCTAATTGGTACATGAAAAAATGCCCAGCATCACTAATTGTTAGGGAAATAGAAATTATAACTACAATGAAATTTCACCTCAAACCTGTTAGGATTTTTTTTTTATAAAAAAGATGAAAACAAGTGTTGTGGTGGATCCAGAGAAAAGGGTGCTTTTATACATTGTGGATGGTAATGTAAATTAGTATGACCATTATAGAAAATTGTGTAGTGGGTCCTCAAAAATGTAAAATAGAATTGCCTGGTGATTCAGCAATCCCATTTCTGAGTATATGTGCAAAGGAAATGAAATCAGTATGTCAAAGAAATATCTGCACTCCACCCCCCACCCCGCTCATGCCCAGCTTCATCTATGGCAGAGAAAATGCTTTAGCCCTAGGAGGGGGCTGGGTGGGTCGGTTAAAAAAAAAAAAAAAAAAAAGAAATATCTGCACTCCCCTATTCATTGTAGCATTATTCACAATAGTGGAGATATGGAATCAACCTAAGTATCCATGGACAGATGAATAAAGAAAATTTGCTATATATACATAATGGAATATTATTCAGTCTTAACATGAAAGAGATTCTGTCATTTGCAACAATGTGGATAAACCTGGAGGACATTATGCTAAGGAAAATAAACCAGGCACAGAAAGACAAATAGCATGATCTCACTTATATGCGGAATCTTAAAAAGGTTGGACTCATAATAGTAGAGAATAGAATGATGGCTACCAGAGGCTGGGAGTAGGCAGAGAGGGAGACAATGGGGAATTGCTGGTTGAAGGATATAACCTTTCAGATAGACAGGAGGAATAACTTTTGTGAACCATTGCACAGCAGGGTAACTATAGTTAATAATAAGGTACATTTCAATATAACTAAGAGTAAATTTCAAATGTTTCACCACAAAAAGTGATAAGCAAGCAAGGTGGATATGTTGAATGGCTTGATTTGATCATTTTATTTTATTTTTATTTTGATAGGTTTTTGGCGAACAGGTGGTATTTGGTTACATGGATAAATTATTTAGTAGCGATTTCTGAGACTTTATTGCGCCCATCACCCAAGCAGTGTACTCTGTACCCAATGTGTAGTTTTTTAATCCTTCACTACCTCTTCCTGCCCTTTCTGCCTGAAACCACAAAGCTCATTGTATCATTCTTAATGGCTTTGCATCCTCACAGCTTAGCTCCCTCTTAATGAGTGAGAACATAGGATGTTAAGTTTTCTATTCCTTAGTTACTTCACATAGATGGAGTCTCCAATTCCATCCAGGTTGCTACAAATGCCATTATTTGGTTCCTTTTTATGGCTGAGTAGATCTGATCTATAGATTCAGTGCAATTCTATCAAAATCCTAGATGCCCTTTTTTGCAGGAATTGACAAAGTAATCTTAAAATTCATATGAAAATGCAAGGAACCAAGAATAGCCAATATAATCTCGAAAAAGAAAAAGTTCAGCACAGACACTTCTCGGTTTTGAAACTTACTGAAAAACAATAGTCAAAGCAGTGTGGTACTGATTTAAGGATAGATACATTCATTGGTCAATGAAACAATCGAGAATCCAGAAATAAAACTTACATTTATAGTTTATTGATTTTCAGCAAGGATTTCAAGAATATTCAAATGAAAAAGAATAGTCCTTTAAAAAAGTAGTGTTGGGACAATTAGATATCGGTATACAAGAAAGTAAGGTTAGTTCGACCCCTACCTATAAGCAAAACTCAACTCAAAATGGATCAAAGATGTAAATGTAAGAGCTCAAGCCATAAAATTCTTAGAAAAAACAGACATAAATCTTCCTGACCTTGGATTAGGCAATTATTTATTAGATATGACACTAAAAGCATAAGCATGAAAGAAAAAAATACATACATTGGATTTCATAAAAACTTTTACACTAATGTTTACAGTAGCATTTTTTATTATTGTAGTCAAAAGGTAGAAACATTCCAAATGTTCATCAACTGATGATTGGATAAATAAAATGTATCATATCCGTATAATAGAATAGTATTCTGCCATAAAAATGAATAAAGTAATGATACACATTGCAATATGGAAGAACCTTGAAAACATTACACTAAATGAAAGCAGCAGATATAGAAGGCCACATATTGTATGACTCCATTATTAGAAATGTCCAAAATATACAAATCCATGAGACAAACTGTAGATTATAAATTGCAAGAGAGTAAGGGGAGTGTGAATGTGGAATGACTTCCAATTGGTGTGGAGTTTTGTGGGATAATAAAAACTAACTATTTGGTCTTTGTTTCTGGCACAGAGCTCCTAAAACATTTGGAATTTACTGTCTTTTGTATGCTTAGAAGGTCAGGGCAAGACCACTTCAGGATGGGAGCTGGTTTTCAGAAAAATTAACCACATAATTAGAGAGTTAGATTCTTTCCACTTCAGGATGCAGTGCTTAATTTTTCCTTCTTTAGTGTTGTCTGGATTTAGTAATTTCTAATGAAAATAATATGGAAAGGGAAAAATAGTAACTTTATAGTCAGAAACCTGGCTGACATTATCTTAATGAAGTGATCAAAGTTACTGTTTAGTTCGTTCTCACATTGCTATAAAGAAATACATGAGACTGGATAATTTTTTTTTTTTTGAGATGGAGTCTCACTCTTTTCGCCCAGGCTGAAGTGCAGTGGTGCAATCTTGGCTCACTGCAACCTCTGCCTCCCCGGTTCAAGCGATTCTACTGTCTCAG